ATTTTTAAACTAGAATTCGCCCCAATTAGTTAAGAAAACATTAGTCCACGTTTTTAAGGGTTTTTTTTTTCAAAATGTTTAGAGACATTTGGATGCTATGAACACACACAAGACCAACGAGAAAACCGATAAGAAGATATGGATAGAGCCAAATAAAGTTTTTTTTTTTTCCGTTTCTCTTTTTGAACTCTATGTTTTACATTTATTTTCCTGATTACAGAAACATGGTTATAGGCTGAATTTATTATAGATTTTAATATTTGTGAGTACTCGGATTGATTTATGATATAGTTTTATTCGATTTGTTTTGAGTTATCTTTTGTTTATGAATTTCTACTTGTTATTTTTATTGTATGAGTAGACGGGAGGTATGAATACATATTTGTGATCTATTTGAGACCGAGATGAGATAATTGATTGTTATATTTGAGAAATTTATAACGTAAGAGCTAAACCGACCGAGAGGTTGATATATAGGATCTTACGAGCAGTGACGGAGCTAGGAATTTTGTCGAGGGCCCAAATAATAATAACAAAAAAAAAAAAAATCATTAATTGTAAAAATATATAAATTAGACAAGACCGACTAAATAAACATATTACATATATCCGAGTACTCAAGTCAAGAAAATAACTTACAATAATATTGCTAATACTTGTATGAATTAGCAATCCGAATAATCAAAGCAAACAATTCAACACAAAAAAACTTATATAGCCAAAAAATTACTCATAAACTCCAAGAGAAATATTAGATAAAAGATCGCCAAACTTACAACATAATTAATCGCCCCAAGTACACAAACTTTAGTTGTAATTAATGTGGTTTTGCCAAACTTACAACATAATAAAATGATCATTTTTCTTTAGTTGTAAGTTGTAACTTCATCTTTTGCTACCAAGTAAACCTGAAAATCGCCCCAAGTACGTTTCTTTATCATGAATTCATGATTCATTTGGTGGTTTCTTAATTAACTCACAATAATACAACATGAGCATAATGATGAGAGTTCAATTCTTTCCTTATATCAACTTTATCTTCTGAGTTCTAATATAAAATACTTTTACAACCAAGTGGCAATTAACATCAAATTCTTTGGAACAAAATTAGGGATAATGATCTCCAAAAATTAATTTCCACCTTAGAACATACAATTCAAACACAAATCTCGCTATAAAGAAAGAAAAATCCAATCTTCTCTTTCTTCCCCAAAATAAATCTAGTTCTCAATTTCCATTGATATCCTCAGAGAATGGTATATAAAAATACTTACTCAACAAGATGATTTTCTGAAGCCGGACGGGATGAACTGAAGTTGGATGGACGGACGACTCACGAACCGCAGACCCGAGACGGAGCTGCCGCAGACGGATGGTGTTGGTGGATGGTGGTATGGCCTATACGGGAAACATGGGTGATATATATTTCTCAAATCTCAAGGGTTAATTTTTTTTTGTTTTGTAAAATCTTCCAGCTTCCATCCGCTTTTATCCATGTATTTTTTTTTTAAATATTATTGCGAATACAAAAACACCCTTAAATTTTTTAAAAATTTCAGGGGGACCCAGTGCCCCCCTGGGCCCCCTACAACTCCGTCCCTGCCAACCCACCTATCCCGTTCCTCATTCTCCTCCACACACATAAACATACACAAACATCACAAAACACACACATACACACACACACACACACACACACACACACACACTGTTCAGTTGCCGGACGACCGCTTGCCGCCGAGCCCGCAACAGAGCCGTCGTCGCCACCAACACATACTCATTATCATTGGTCGTCGTCGACACCAGCACCATCTCGCTGGAAAAATCGAACGTGCCCCCACCTACGGGCCTTCATCGTGGTTGCGGTCCCCGCCTTCTCCCTTAGGCCGCCGCTCCAAATATGAATGGGCGGTTGCTCTGCCGTGCCTGAAAATTCGACACGTCTCCTCAGCCTGGCAGAGGCGGCTGAATTCGCAAGAGAACAAACACCCGAAGACCCTCTGTCGCGCAACCATGTGTGTCACAGCCGGCATCGTGTCCCTCATCTCCTGGTGGTGGCACCAGCCGTGGTCTCCGTCGAAAAATTGATGCAACATTCAGAAGAATCCAAGAAGAAAGCTCAAGCTCGTCGCCGACAATGAAGAGAGGATGGCACGGGCGACTGAGCTCTGCGTTCAGGATGTGAGATGGCGACGGCGGCGGCTCTGGCTGGAAGAGGCGGTGACGATTGCTCTGCATTGTAGGGATGATTTTGATTTTGCAGGAATGATTTTGATATGTGAATTTTTTATTTGGGGTTACTTTTTTAGAAATTAGACAAAAAGGGTGGGCCTATTTGAATTTTTTTTGAAGTTTAATATGTTGCACATGGTTTGGTAAATTTGAGCAACTTTTCCACAATAACAATAAATGAAATTCACAATATTGAGTGAGTATATACACATTAAAAAAAAAAATATATTTTATGCAATTAAATAATTTTTATCGCTTACACATTTAAAAGTTCACAAAATTATCAAAATGGAAACGGGCTTAGAGTCATTCATTGGTGGATTCGGTCGACCCGACTAATTGAAATGATAAAAATCAAATTAACTGAGTCGAACTTTCTGAAACAAATGAATCGAAATAAAATTGACATCAATTCGACGTAACCTAAATTTTAAAAGTAAAATCAGAAAATCGAATCGACATATAAATATTTGAACATAAATTTTTAGATAAGCCGGTTTAGGTTAATATTGTGCATTCTTGACGATATTAATTTGCAATTTGTCTAACACAAATGTGCACCGATTCTATTGCTACTGTGCAGTCCAAATTGATTGAACTTTTATCCCAAACCAAATTCAACAAACCGAATTAATTGGTTAATTCGGTCGGTTAACCGTATTACTCTAAATCATTCAAATAAATTATTTTTTATATTAAACATATATTTAGTATTTTATTATTTTATTAAATATTTTATACTATTTTGTGGTTGCAAAAACATAATATATGAAATACCAAAATCAATAGAGTGCATCCCAACAAACACAAATGTGCATTTAGCCTATCATTATTATGCGGTCTATTTGAGCGATGTATTTGTTGTGTGCACTTCAATTTTAAAATGCGTATTTCAATAAACAAAAAATTATACATTTATAAAATTATATAGTAAAAATATATTTAGTATTTATAATTTGTTATTTAATTTTTTATATTATTGGCGGTTGAACATATATGTAAATAAAATAAAAATAATATGTTTTATATAGTTCGGTCAGTTATTTTATTTGTTGTGGTTGTTTTTTATTTCTTTTTTATTTTTGCAAATGATGAAAAAATCAGACTGAAATAACCATGTTTTTAATATTCGTGAAAATACACACTGTTACGCTTATGTGTGTTCTCGAATGAGTTAGTGTGCATTCGGTCTAACAGTGTTGTGCAGTATGATATTCACTAATATGCATATTTGATATCCCTATTGTGCATTGTGCAGTGCAGGTCTTTTTATATGCAAATCCAAGGTAAAATCAAATCGAAAGTAAAACCGAACTGATTTAACTGAATTTACCTAAATAATCAAAATAAATTATTATTTTTTTATAAAAGTCATTTATTTAATTCAAAAAATTTATTTATTATTTTACATTATTTTTAGATTTTTATATTGTTTTTATTTAATGTATTTATTTATTTACTTAATATATATGATAAAAAACATATAAAATAATATTAATGAATGTATCAAACTTTTAAGAACTACAAATTTTCCCCAAGACTTAAATTGTAATATATTAAAAGTTTTAAGTTTGCAATCTAGTCCCCGTGACTTGTCTAATTTTCATTTTGAAGTCCTTATATCCAATCCAAAATTCAGATCCATGTACAATCCATTCGGATTTCGTCTCGTCGGTACGGTGATGACCGCGGCGACGGCAACAACGGGCTGGTCTGTGAATCCGGGCGTGAGATGTGGAAATCAGAAAGTCAACGTTGAGTTTGATTTTGACGGGGCAAAGTGGCCGAAACTGGGCGTTTGGTGTCGACTGGTGTGTGATTTTAGGCAGCCTCAGTCTGTCTCCTTGGTCGAGGTCAGTGGCAACCGACGAGCTTGAGTTTGGTGGTTGGAACTCAACCAGAGGCAACAGTTTTCCGAGTGCATGACGGAGGAGGGCGGAGGGCTTGAGTTTGGCGGATGCGTATGGCGGCAGGCAGGCTTGTGGCGGGCGATGGCCGAGTGTCATCGGCGATGAGTGAGAGTGTGTGACGGCGTGTTTTTGGTGTGCATGTTGTGTGTGTGTGTGTGTGTGAGAGAGAGAGAGAGAGAGAGAGAGAGAGAGAGAGAGAGAGAGAGAGAGTGCGGTGGTGTTGGTGGGGTGAGGTGGGATGGGTATGCTGAATGAGTTGGTGGTTGGTGGCGGGTGTATTAATAATAATGGGTATAGGGTCCACCTCGTTGGGTTTGGTGTGTAAAATTACCACAATATCCTTAATGAAGATATAATTTTAGCTTTTTTTAAGCCGTTAGATCGTTCGATCTAATGGTTACGATATATTCTTATTTCTTTCACTGTGAACCTTTCTCACTGGAAGCCA